CGAGTTGAATTCGTCGATTGACCTCTCGGTCGAAGTTGGACTTACCTAGTCGGACTATTTGTCTCAGGTAAACAAACTCGTCAACAACTTCGAGCTTAGTGCTCCCAACAACTACCGGCATAGGTGTGACATGGACGTTAAACATGATTTTTGTTTTGTCCATGTTCATCTTAAGACCTATCCGTTGGGAGACACTATTGAGGTCATTGAGCATAATGCTTAGGTCCTCCAGCGATTCTGCCATAAGGACTATATCGTCGGCAAATCGAAGGTGAGTGATGTACTCACCATTGATGTTAATACCGCATCCTTTCCAGTCCAGTAGCTTGAAAACCTCCTCCAATGTAGCGGTGAAGAGTTTCGGGGATATAACCTCACCCTGTCTTACACCTCTCTGCAGTTGGATAGGTTTCGTACTCTGATTCTGTACTCGGATAGCCATCGTAGCTCTACTGTACAAACACTTCAGCACTTCGATATACCGATAGTCAACTTGGCACCGCTGAAGGGACTGCAGCACCGCCGAAACTTCGACGGAATCAAATGCTTTCTCATAGTCCACATACGCCAGACATAGTGGCAAATTGTACTCTTCGGACTTCTGTACAATTTGCCGAAGGGTATGTATGTGGTGTATGGTGCTATAGCCCTTTCGGAAACCGGCTTGTTCGGGAGGCTGGAAGTCGTCAAGTCTGCGCGCGAGAAGATTCGTAATGACTCTCGAAAACAGCACGTAGACGCGGCTCAGAAGGGAAATCGGTCTGTAGTTCTTCAAGAGAGCGTTGTCACCTTTCTTGAACAACGAGACCACCGCACCTCTGCTCCACACCTCTGGTGTAATGCCACCATGGAGGACGGAACTAGAGAGCTTCTGAAGGACTTCAAGTACCGGTTTTCCACCCGCTTTCAGAAGCTCCGCTGTAATTCCATACTCGCCCGGGGACTTGCCGTATTCAAGGTGCTGGAGAGCCATTCTAATCTCGCTCAGACTGACGTCCGGGATATCTTCGGAATAGTTTCGGATAAGACTCGCTCTTGAATAGTTACTCACACTTGCGTGTGACTCCAACGATGACGTGTACAGCGGCCCATAGAACCTCTCAATCTCACTCAAAATCTCAGGTGCCCCGGAAACGACGCTGTCACATTCTGTCTTCTTTACGTGGTAGAGCCATGCTGCAGCTATATTAGTAGTGTATTTGTAGCACGAATAGGTCGGCTCGACCGGGGAAGGACCACACTCTCACAGAATACCAGCGTCAAATATCAGCTCAACACTGCTGTGTTTCGTATGGTGAGTGTAGAGAACCGGAGACCCTTTTTACTGGAAACGAGGCATTCCATCTTAGTCCTCACGGGTGGCAACGCATCTGCATTTTGATTCGCAAACGAGGATAAATGTAGATGTCTATGGACCACAGCAACCACTTACACTTACAAGTTGCCGGATTCGAGGATTACCGTGTCCTCCCCCTCTATTCGGACCTCGGATAATCCTATAATATGCCAGTGTAACTTGTCTATCTCTTCTTCCAGCTCCACGATCTTTTCGTTAGTCCTCAGGGTTCATGCATTATATGTTGCCAGGTCGAGTCGTTTTAGGTGGCAACCGAACCTCCACCGGAGATTCTTATCACCCCCTGCCCCGCCGTTACCATGGTCGCCACCGTAGCCAGGAATAGCGGGGCCGCCGGGGGCTGGGGGCCGTCTCTTTGTTGCTCTCTTCATTGGGGGGTATTTGCCATAGTTGCCACGCTTGACGAGCGGGTTGGCAACCGCAGTTTTTTTTATTGTACTTTTGCTGTTATCAGGAAGATGCTGCTGCACATCTCCTGCCTGTTTCCCTTTGTCGCCTTTTACAACACCCACTGGAAGATATGGGTTGTGGATATTCTTAACCGCCACTACACGGCTTCACATGTGTTCGAGATATATTTTTTTATTTCTCAGACATGCAGGTCGAGCACGTGGTAAATCGGCACTTAAAATTGCAATTAACCATTTCATTGGTGCCGGCGGGGATTGAACCCGAGTTTCCCGCGTACTGTGAGATTTACAGCGAGCGCTAACCATCTGAGCTACCACGGCGCTACCGGAACAAACTTGTGTCTGATGTCGATTCTTTGCTGAACAAAGTCTCGGATTGAGGGCGGCTAAATCTAGTCCAGTTCAATCCCCAGAAGACTCAAATTTGCACGTATACCGCTAAAAGAAACCCCTTTGTCGTATCTCCTCAGTTTAAAGGCACTCCCCTTGCTGCCTGAACTAGCATTGGAATCCTCGGCGTCGACATATCGAATAGTGTGCAGTTTTGGGGTCACTGGGAAGGGAATGCCAAATTGGCCTATAAAAAGCTTGGCATGCTCAGCAGAGCGAGGCAGTATTTCATGTCGGCACATCGCTTGCAACTTTACAAAGCGCAAATTCGGCCTCTCATCTCTGGGCCGGGGCACGCCAGTGTCAGCTCCTTCCACTTGACCGCATCCAGCGCAGAGCGGTTCGAGTCGTCGACGTGCGAATTCTTTCTGGTCGGCTCGATTGACTGGCACTGCGTAGGGATGTTGCATCCCTTTACATTTTCTATCGAATTTACCACGGGGAGTGCTCTGAGGAATTGTTCGGACTAATTCCAGCCGTTCAATTTCATTATACCCAAATTAATCCAATAACGGTACTTGGCACGACCTGGGACACGATTTAAACCCAGGACCAAATCATGATTCACAGTCGCGCTAGTAACCACATACAAACAGACAAAATTATATACTTTCATGATATGCATTTATTAAAAATCTGTTATTTTGACGTTACGAACAGACACTCCAATTTTATTTATTTTAATAGTTTCGTATGCGTAAAGTATGAAAGTTTGTAAAAATTTCGAAAGTGAAATTACTATATTATTTTGATCTTGAGGCGTCAGAAAACTTGGCTGCACTTTTAATAATTCTCTTTTATAATTCAATACATGATCGTAGATATCAGTGTGATTTATACTGATGATCTAGTTAATTGAGAGTTATTAATAATTACTTTAAATAAAAGACAGGACTTTTAGTGTATGTATTTGGTTACAGTCGATAGCCAAAGTATAGCCGAATTTAATCATAATGATTTGTTAGATTCAAATTATTTTTCTTTATTAATTTCAGTATCAGTTAATTTCATTTCATCTATGTGGTTACCTTGCACTCTATTTAGAAAAGCTAATATTTTTAGTAGCATCTTGTACGTACACAACATGATAAGATTTGCTCCAATTCCGCTTTAATGAGATGTGAAAAATGGTAATTTCTTTTGTTAGCATTCTCTGTACATAAGAAACAATTTTTATCGTGTTTAGACATGACTTCTAGTTAAACTTTACACCTCAGAAGTGGTCATTATTAATTTTGCAAAGACTGAGATAGAGGTTAGTCTTAATTACGAGCTTTTGAATTTAAAAAAAAATCTGTTAATCTGCCTCACTTTAGTCCTAAAAAGAACAAAAATACTATTACATATAATTTCATAAACTTTTAAAAATATTGTGTTCTGTTAAGACAGTTCATCATTTATTGCGATATATTACTAAAACTAATGACATTGAAATAAAGATGCTTAGCGTAATTTTATTTAATAATATTATTTATAGAATAATATTGTTTTTATTTAATATTTAATATTATTAAAATTATAAATAATATTATTAAATATTATTTATAATTTTAATAATAGTAAAATTATAAATAATATTTAATAATATTATTTACAATTTTAATTATAGAATACGTTAAATAAAATTAAAGTCAATTTAAATATATAACGTCAAATTAAACTTGATATCAAAACTTAAATTTAAAGTGAATATAACGCATAATTAATTGAAACAGAACTTACATCTGTTATTTATAATACGATCGTTGCTGAAAGATGAAAAAATATGACGGAGTAACGTCACAAGGCAGTCGCGTTGATGCAATGAATATATCGTGCATGTGTCTAAAAACCTCGGGAATTAAACAGTGGCAGCTGTACAAAGATGGGTATGCAAGGGGGCAAGCGGGGTAAGGGAGAGGGGGACATTACAAAACTTGGTTTTAACCGGTTAATTCTTACTACCTAAACCGAAATTTGTGAAAAACCGGTATTCCGCAACTACCGGTTTTGGGGTCAATGACCGAAACCGGTTTAGAATTTCAACCGGTTTCCGAGCCCTGGTTTCGGGTACTTTACAGCACCCATGATCACGGGGAACTGAAGTAATTGACGACCCGATGTCTGAGTTAACTCAATCACCCGTGAGGCCGTGACCGTAGGTGCTGTAAAGTACCCGAAACTTTTTATTAATTAAAAACAATAGGTTAATTAAACGCGATAGAATCTGTAAGTAGTTTCATTCAACGATTAATGCTAGTAACATTGCTAATATTTTTTTTATAGAATAAGGGTGACAAACGAGCACACAGTCCACCTTATGATAATCGAATGCTGTGGCTCATAGAGATCTACTCGTACATCTATTTTCAGTTAAGAATCAAAAGGAAGAGCGTATTCAACCCTGAGGACTAATATGGAATGCCTCATTTCCAGTAAAAAGGTTCTTCGGTACTTTACACTCACCATACGAAACACAGAAGCATCAAGCTGTTATTTTACTCTGTTATCAACACCAGTTTTTCTTAATAATATTTTTTAATTAACTAACATTTGATTTTAAAAAAATAGTAACAAATATGAACAAAGAATTAATTCATAAAATAAACGAAAATATATTTTCATCGTAGTAATATTAAAATTAATAAAAACATTTATATTGTAAAAAGGAGAATTACCATATTATAGTAATATTTTCTTAACATGTCATATAATTATTTAAATAGTGGCGATTAAATACCCCTTAATGTGTCACAATTGGTTGAGGTTATTTTTGAATAATACCACAAAAAAAAATTACCTATTTATTTGACCTTTATTTTCATATTCGAATTTCATTAATACTAACTGGTTCTATGTTTCAGTGTTTGGTCTCCATTACATCATGTGAGGGTTGGAATATTACAACTATAGAAGGAATTGGCGGCCAACAAGGATATCATCCCGTTCAGAAAACATTAGCAGAGTACAACGGTACTCAATGTGGATACTGCAGCCCTGGCTGGGTTATGAGTATGTACAGGTAAAGCTTTTAGTATTGAAAAATGAACCTTTTAAAATCTTTTTTTTTTCTTTTTATAGGAGAGGGGGCAAACGAGCACCTGATGGTAAGTGATTACCGCCGCCCACGAACAACTGCAACATCAGGGGAACCAGGGGAATTGCAGATGCGTTGCCGGCCTTTTAAAAAGGAGTAGGCTCTTTTCTTGGAGGTCCTTAAGTCGTATCGGTCCGGAAAAATCGCTGATGGTAATCAATTCCACAAGGAAGTCGTACGAGGAAGAAAACATCTTCTAAATCGCACAGTGGTGGACCGCCAATCATCCAGATGGTGAGGATGGTATTGGGAGTTCTGCCGCGATGTGCGATCGTGAAATTTGGCGGCTGGGATTAATCCGAACAATTCCTCAGAGCACTCCCCGTGGTAAATGCGAAATAAAATGCAAAGGGATGCAACATCTTTTTGAAGTGCCAATGAATCGAGCCGATCTGAAAGGACTCGGTCGTCAACGATTCGAGCTGCTCTGCGCTGGATGCGGTCAAGTGGAAGTAGCTGGCACTGGGAAGGCCGAACCTGCGCCTTGTAAAGTTGCAGGCGGTGTGCCGGCATGAAATACTGTCCCGCTCTGCTGAGCACGCCAAGTTTTTAGAAGCCAATTTGGCCATCTCTTCAAAGTGACCACGAAACTGCACGTCACTCGATATGTCTACTCCGAGGATTCCGATACTGGCTGAGGTAACAAGGGAAGTACCTTGAAACTGAGGAGATACGACAAAGGGGTTCTTTTTTGCGGTAAACGCGCAAACTTGTGTCTTCCTGAGGATTAAATTGGACTAGATTTAGTCGCCCCCAATCCGAGACTTTGTTCAACAAAGACTAGATTTTAGACACGAGTTGGCACGGCCGGTGTAAAGTGCATCACCAGTGCTGTCATCCGCATAGCAATGAATGTTGCCAGTTAGCAACATATCATTGATATGCAGAAGAAACAGCGTTGGTGATAGCACACAGCCTTGGGGAACACCAGCGTTAATAGGCTTGTAGTCGGAGCATGCACCGTCTACAACAACCTTGATGCTCCGATCTGCAAGGAAGCTGGTGATCCCATTGCACAATTTGATCTGCGAGGTTATGAACGATGAAAATATAGACTTTTCTTTGTATTTCTTCACATCTGCCAATCATGGGAGCATTCGCTAAAACTTTCCATGTGATCTGTGAAGCTTCTTAGCGCCCGTCATTAATTTTTAAATAATGACGGTTTATTTAAAAAAAAAGCGCTTAATTCATTGAAATTTTGGTACTCGCCTTATAATTCTGATTGTTATAATGTTAGACTACTTGGCCTCTAGTAATGATAAGGATATGAGAGAGAAGATGAAAGAAAGATATAGGCTGCAGAAAGTTCACACGAAAGCACTGATTGAGGAAGTGCGTGAAAGGTGTAGAATGGAAGCGGACGAAAGGTTGTCGCACAACTTTAAGGAGAACTCCAAACTCTTCTGGAAAGAGGTTGGAAGGACCCGAAGTGGTGCGACGGCCTTAAGAATGAACAAAGTGCTTTCGAGAACTAATGACGTCCTCTCAGAAAAATCGGACGTCATGCAGCGATGGAGCGAATTTTATAGAGAAATGTATGCGTGTGATGATCTTAGTGAGGGATCCGAGGATGACGCCGTGACTGGTACGCCAGACCCGGACCTCGATGACACTGAGGTCATCAGTATGAAAGAGATTGAACGTGCGATTCGAAGTTTGAAATGTGGTAAAGCTGCGGGACTAGACAGAGTTACTGCTGAAATGGTCAAGTATGGTGGGCCTCGCGTCTGGGACAGCTTTCATCTGCTGTGCAATTTGTGCTGGCGGACGGGGGATGTCCCGGATGATTGGCGATCCGCAGTCATTATGCCTTTATATAAAGGTAAAGGTTCACATTTTGACTGCGGGTGCTATCGGGCGATCAGCTTGACCAGTTTAGCAAGTAAAGTTTACTCGAAGGTTTTGACACGTAGGATGCAAGAGAAATCGGAAAGATTTCTATGGGAGGCACAATGCGGATTTAGACCTGGAAGAGGATGCACGGATCAAATGTTTTCTCTCCGCATGATCACGGAGAAGCTTCTGGCTGCTAATCAGAAGATTTTCTGTGCTTTTGTGGATCTTGAGAAAGCATTTGATAAGGTTGTAAGGAAGAAAATGTGGGAACTGTTGCCGGGGTATGGTGTGGATGGTCGATTGCTAAGGGCTGTGCAGTCTCTTTACTGTGACTGTAAAGCCTGTGTGCGGGTAGGGCATGACCTGTCACCCATGTTTAACGTCCAAACGGGCGTAAAGCAGGGTTGTGTCATGTCTTCCTGGCTGTTCATACTGTATCTCGACAGCTGTTTACAGAAGCTGAAAGATAGCCGTTTGGGTGTGAAATTGGGTGACATAAAAGTAAATTGTTTGCTGTATGCTGATGATGCTGTACTTATTGCACCATCAGAGGCAGAACTGCAGGCATTAGTCACGTGTATGAAAGAGGAATGTGAAATTAAAGGTCTCCGTTTGAATGCTAATAAAACTAAGGTTCTGGTATTTGAAAGGGACGAAGAGAGAACGAAGTGTGAAATATGGGTAAATCAGGAATGTCTAGAACAGGTAAATGAAATTGTATACTTGGGGAGTGCTTTTAGCCGGGATGGAAGATGTGATTTAGATGTGGACAGGCGTGTCGCTGCCGAGAACAAAGTCAATGGTGCCCTGACTGCGTTAGTCAAAAGGCAAGGCGTAGCGAAGAGTGCACGCCTTGCAATACATAACGCAGTGTTGGTACCGACTTTGTTATATGGCAGCGAAACCTGGGTATGCCAGAAGAAGCATAAAAGTAAGTTGAATGCAGTGGGGATGCGATCTCTTCGTAAAATGTGCGGCGTTACCATGGCCGACCGAAAGCGAAACGAAGAGATTCGCAATATGGCAGGTTTGAAAGATGACCTTATCACAAAAATTGATAAGGGCGTGCTTCGGTGGTTTGGGCACGTTGAGCGAATGAGTGAAGACCGAATGGTGAAGAAAATTATAGCGCGAAAGTTAATATTAAAAGGTGTCGAGGTAGACCGAGATTAACTTTCGAAGACCATGTGAGCAAATTGCTCGAAGAGGGTAGGGTCAAGAGTACTCGGATACCTAGACGTGCATGCATGAAGAAGATAATGAATCTGAAAGAAGCGAAAGAGGTTTGTAAGGATCGTGACACTTGGCGATCTGTTCTCTCTAGCTACCCCGTTAGGTATTGTGCGTGAAGATAAGTTATAATGACAAAAGATTTATCGTAGCACTCATGAGCACTTTCATACAAAACATCATTTGGTAATCAAACATTAAAATGACATTATATTTACATTGAAAATACTTTTTAAGTATAGTACGTCCAAGTAGTAGCATTTTTATTTTAAATGTTTTTAGTTTACTCGAGAGTCATAAATATGGTTTAACTCCAACACAAATAGAAGATTCATTTGGTAGTAATACATGCAGATGTACTGGATATAGACCAATTCTTGATGCATTTAAAAGTTTTGCCACTAATAACGCCGATACATATCTTCCGGATATAGAAGATTTGAAGATATGTAAAAAAGAAGCAAAATGTAAGAAACTAGGCGAGGTCCAATTAAACTGTGACAAAAGTTGGTGTATTGTCAGAAAGGAAAACTTTGCAGAAAAGATTAAAAAGATTTTATTGAAGGACAATCGCGTATGGTATCGTGTGAATGAAGTACAAGATATCTTCAAAGTGTTCGAAATGGAAGGTACAGCTTCTTATATGTTGGTTAATGGCAATACTGGAAGGGGTAAGTCAGTTTTTCGGGAAAATATTTTTTGAAACTTGGAGATTGCTGTACACCGCTTAAATATTATTGTTACAGGCGCTGTGCCCATTTTTGCATTCCCGAAAGTCCTAATAGATATAAAGCCAGTGCAAGAGCTGAAGAACTACTACATAGACCAGAATCTAGTAATTGGTGCTGGAATGGCTCTAAACGATCTCATAGATCTTTTTGAACAAGTGTCGAAAAAACACGATGAATTTTCTTATTTGCAGAAACTCTCCGAACATTTAAATTTGGTTGCACATATACCCGTCAGAAATGTAATGATTTGTTTAAATGTACCTTTGTACTAAATTATTTAGATTTGATTCGAATGTTATTTTTATGTGTAGTTATTAGGTAAGATTACAAAATACATAAAAGATATAAAACAGACTTTTTTCTTAGATAGCTTCAATAGCTGGTAATCTGATGCTAAAACATAGAGAGCAAACGTTTTCGTCAGACGTTTTTCTGCTTCTTGAGACGGTCTGCGCTATTTTAACAATTGGTGCGTTTAGATCTAATAAAAAATATTTAATTTCAAAGACTATAATCTCATTTATTCAGATTCTCCTTTATTTGCAGCTAGTGTTAATGGTTCTGAGCAAATGACTCCAGAGGCTTTTCTTGGCGTAGATATGACGGGAAAATTAATCACACAAGTCAAATTCCCACCATTATCAAAAAGTTATAGGTTCATATCATTTAAGGTAAGATTGAGAAAAAAAAAACATTAGATATTCTGAAGTTGAGACTTTAATTCATCAATGCGCGAAGTCTTAACACCAACTTCAGAATTTTATTCCTCATTTTATTATTTATAAGATTGTTTGTTATTGTTTTAAGTTTTTTAAAACTGCCTTTTACTTTTTTCTTTTCTGCCGACTTCCAAACGGAGACGGTACTCCATTCAAATGTGTATAACCTAATAACTTTTTACTAGGTGAACCGATTTCGATAGTTCTTTATTTTATTTGAAAGCTGATGCTTTGCATGTAGTCCCATATGAATTTGATCAAGGTTTGACCAATAGCTTTTGATATAATTAAAAGAATCAGGCGTAACTTTGCGGAAATCCATTATATAAAAGCTTTAAAAAAGTTACTTCTCAAACATCCGGTCTATAAAATAAAATGATGTGTCGTACCTATTATAAAGAGCACCTCCCGCCCTCCCTCAATTGCGTGATGTGCGTCAAGACACAGCACTGACGACAATACAACACGTGTCGTATTGTCGTCAGTGGTGTATCTTTCCTAGTGTAGTGGTGTTGGGAGTAGTGGTGCTGGGATTAGTGGTGATAGTGCACGCAATTAAGGGAGGGCGGGAGGTGTTCTTCATATTGTCATTTTATTTTAAAGAGTGGATGTCTGCGAAGTAACTTTTTAAAAGCTTTTAAATAGTTTTTGAGTTATTCTTAATAAATTATATTGAAGTTATTTGTACAAATTTTTTAAATATAAATTATTCAATATTTTTTTGTTTGCACTGTAATTTCTCAGTCATAATTGAGAGCATAATACCTGTGTTGTTTTTGCGCTCGGCAACCCGTTTGCTTGCGTGATGGAAAATCTTCTACGAAGTGGTTGGGAAAAGGCCTACTGGTGCAATCTTGGAAATTCTCATGAACATTCATCACCACTATTTTCTTCCAAAACTTGTGTCTTTCAATAAATGGGATAGGAGGACTGGCTGCAGAGAAGATCGGATACAATCATAGTCACTACCCAAAACTATAATACTATCTTTTTATTTAAATTTTTATTATAAATATTATGGGGTATCTGTAAAGTTTTCTCATCTGGTTAGGTTGTAATATAATATATAATTGTAAATGAAAATGATAAACATACATAAATATCAATAAAATTAAATAAATACATAAAAATAATATTATTATTATTATACATATGTAATAATAACAATAATTATTATTATTGGGTATTTGTATAGTTTTCTCATCTGGTTGGGCTGTATAAATATATAATTGAAAATGAAAACGATAAACTTACATAAATATCAATAAAATAAAATAAATACATAAAAATTACATAAATATATAAAAACCCAACCAGATGGAAGCCCTCGGCAGGGGAGACCAAACGGCCGAGGGTTAGGGGGAAAGGGAAAGAAACCGGCGGACGATGCGGGCGGTATCGAGGAGCACCGCCTTCTGCATTTGAGCTTGGAGCGATCCGTCACGGAGTCCCAGTCGCTCAGGTGACCCGAGAGGCTGACTGGGATTAACCCATTCGCAGAAACGACCACAGGAATAATTTCGGCCGGCAGACCACCCCACATGTCGGTCACCTCGTGAGCCAGGTCCAGATATTTTGTCAGCTTATCTGTTTCGGCTTTCACGAGGTTCTCCTCATAAGGAATGGTAATGTCGACCAAAAATATCCTTGACTGTGCCCGGTCCATCAGCACAATATCAGGCTTATTCGCAAGAATAGTCCTGTCTGTGATGATGGCCCGGTCCCAGTAGAGCCTGGCGCGGTCATTTTCGAGTACGGCTTCCGGCAAGTACTTATAATACGGCAGTTTCTGATCCACGAGACCGTATTTCAGAGCGAGCTCCTGGTGTAGAATCCTGGCTACTAAGTTGTGTCTGTGCAAATACTCAGAGTTAGAAAGCGCCGAACAACCGGAGATGACATGCCTAAGTGACTCACCGGGATGGCGACAAGCTCGACAGACGTCGACGGTGCCATCCTTTAGGATGTATCTCCGATAATTGTTGGTCTTAATAACCTGGTCCTGTATCGCACAGACAAAACCCTCGGTTTCCCCAAAGAGGTCACCGAAACGTAGCCAGTGGAGGGAGGCGACTGTGTCTACGAAAGGCTCGTGTAGAGCCTTGTAGAACCTCCCATGGAGCTCCTTCTCCTTCCATACGGTCTCCCGGTCGGAAATGCTCTGTACTGCCGGGTCCCGCCATTGCTCGTTGGCTAAGGATAGAGGGGTAAGTCCTTTATCACAAGAAATAACGTCCCTATAGTATGGATCATCCGCTCTCGTCAGAAAGTAATTACGGAGGCTGCACACTTCGCGATTATGCATGGTAAGCGCGCTTAAAAAGCCGCGCCCACCATGCTTCAGCGGCAAGTACAGCCTCATTACCGACGACCTCGGATGATGCATCCTGTGGGACGTCATTATAGTGTGGACTTTTCTATCCAGAGCGTTTAGTTCGGTCTGAGTCCACCTAAGTATGCCACAGGTATACATGAGAACAGGCATGACCCAACCGTTATATGCGTGCGTCTTATTCACACCGGACAAAAGGCTGTTAAGCACTTTGGTCAAGCGTGCATAAAACACATCGCAAACTGACTGTTTCATACCCGCCTCATCTACACCGATGTTCTGTGACATACCTAGGTATCGGTATGTTTCAGCCTCGGAAAGGGTCCTTATGTTGATGGGCATAGATTAATCTATGCCCTCAGAGTTAGCAACCCTTCCCCTTTCAACATGGAGGACCGCACGCTTATCCGTCCCCAGACCCATTCTAATAGAATTGCTAAAATCACAAGTGATGTTTAGCAATTCCATAAGATGAGAGCAACTGGAGGCGAATAACTTGAGATCATCCATATAGAAAAGGTGGGTCACCTTTGTACCTCCCTTCCGAAGCTGAAATCCCCTCCCGGAGCCCTCCAGTAAGGTACTGAGAGGGTTCTGAGAGAGGCAGAACCAGATTGGACTCAAACAATCGCCCTGGAAGATACCCCTTCTTATCTTTATGTGGTTCTCCGCAGCCGTCATCCGTTCGCCTAGATGACAAAGGATCGTACTCCACTGCCCCATATACTGCCCGAGGAAGTCTCTAACTGTACAGTCAATCTTGTACAGCTCGAGGACCCTCTTAAGCCATGCATAAGGCACCGAGTCGAATGCCTTTTTGTAGTCTATCCAGGCGGCGGAGAGGTTCCGACGGTTGCGTTTAACCACCTCGCCAATTACCGCGTCAATGAGGAGTGGTTCCTTGGTTCCACGACCACCGCCCCTACATCCATTCTGAGCGCGCGACATCACCTGATTTGAGTTCAGGTGACGAGTGATTTTCGCGCTCAAAATGGATGTTAGTGTCTTGTTGTGGGTAGACACGTGATGGGGCGGTATTTGCTCGGGTCTGTGGTATCCTGATCTTTAGGAACCAAATGAGTGATCCCAGTAGTGAAGAGGCTCGGGAGCGACTTCTGGTTGAGAGCCTCTTGAAACTGTCGGGCGAGCACAGCGTGACACACCACGAATCCCTTCAGCCAGTAGTGATGCAGCCCGTCGAGTCCCGGATATTTCCAGTTCGGGGCCCTACGGACCGCCTCAACTACGTCATCCGGCGTTATGATGAAGGGGTCCATGGGCGTAATATTCGCACACTGACTCGCCACAACTTCCGTCCAAGGGCCCTCGTTGTGGTTTACGGGCTCTGACCACAGGCCGCGCCAGAATGCGATAGTGTCGGCCTGATTCGGTGCTGGGCCCGTTCCACGTACCATTGGCCGCTCGAATGGTTCATAGAGCCTCTTCTGATCACTCTGAAATAGACGATTCTGGTTGAACCGTGTCGACCTCTCGGTATATCGCTGAATCCGCTTCCCCCAAGCAGAGATTCTCTGCTTCAGGTCGTCTATGCGCTCCGTCAGTTTTTGCGTTATATCCGGCTGGGACAAACTGATATTTGTCCCAGCAAACGCCATTCTGACGGTGCGCACAATTCTCGGCCTATTATTGCCCGACCAGAAGCTTATCAGCCTGCCGATGAGGGCCCTTGCCTTTACGATACGGTCCTCAATCCTTCTTCTCCAGGCTGGGATGGCGCTACTTTGTCTAGTAGCGCGTCCAGCCGTGGGAAGTTTGGCGCCAACAATACGGCAAACTGCCAGTGTGGCGCCAAAAAGAATTGAGTCCGTCTCGCAAAGGTTCCGGCTGGCTTCCAAATAGGTCACCAGCATTGGGTTGAGAGCCCTCACGACAGCCCGATTCCGCTTGCTTAGGGGTATGCGCGGGAGTCGCGGTCGATTTTCGAGACTGCGCGTGTCCACAATCGCCTCCTCCAATTTACTCCTCATCTGCTCTAGTTCTTGGGTGACCATTCCATTATCGCCTGAATCAACCAGAGCGGGGAGATCCATGGCGCCCTCTATATGTGGCTGCTGGTCTGTGGCCTGAAGAGCCACATCCCCAGCTATAGCCGGTTCATTTGATGAGGGAATAGCCTCACGTTGTAGTCGTTCGAGTTCGGTATCATCAAATATTTTCGAGCGTATGATATACCGAACTCGGTCTGCCAGGTTTTGCTCCGTGACGGGAACTGACGGCTCAAGCTCAGCAAAAAAGCGATGCATCCGAGCCCGATACGCTATCCCTCCAGTTTCTTCCCCTTTCGCCCTATAGTACGTCCGCAATGCGTTTATGTTCATAATTTTTGTCCAACGCATGCGGCGTACTCCACCAGCGGCGGGTGCCGCTTGCCGAGTCCGAGAGGACCCCGCCGACACCAAGCCGTCTTGTGGTGATGATCGACGCGAGGGGCTGCTAGGTGGTCGTGCAGCACCTCGCGCTCGGCTGGCGGCTCGCATGCTGTCACGTCCAGCGCCAGCTCCAGACGGGACCCAGCGACCCCCAGGCAGCGGCCCTAGACGCGTTATATTTTTTTCCATCATCCATTAAATTGGGCGTCAATTAACGGGAGACGCCCAGACCCGGCGCCGTTTAATAGTGTGGCCGTAAGCACAAACGGGCCTTTGCACCCTCAATACTGCCGAGGCACGGCGCTCACACCTCTTGGCAAGGCACTGACTGACTGCGCTGACATAGCAGTTTTGTCACTTAACTGTTACGTCAGCGGGCGATGGGGTCGTCACTTCCCTTATTATTATTATTATTGTTATTTTTATATCTTTATTTTTTCTAGCCTTGCGGCCGTTATTAATGCTAATTACGGGTGTTCACCAAGTAAAAAGCATATGGGCGTTTTATTAAGTAGTGTGTTCTGGGATATTGGGCGTAACTTCGTTTTCATCTATTTGTAAAAATTTTCTCACAATGCGGCACGTATTTAATATGGCGGCTTTCTGTAATTGTATGTATTTATTCTCTTTTATATTTAATAGTTTCAGGCTGTGGTGAAGATGTTTTGGGATAACTCCTGTGGTTGATAACACAATCGGTACTATGTATGCTTTTTCTTGTTTCCAAATTCTGCTAATTTCGTTTTGGAGATCTGTATATTTGTGGATTTTTTCTGTAATTGTCTTTGTAATATTATGTGTGTTAGGTATAGCTATATCAATGAGGTATGTGATTTTATTAAGTTTATCTTGTAGTGTAATGTCTGGTCTATTATAATGTATTGTTTTGTCAGTTAGAATGGCGCGGTCGTAGTATAACTTATGTGTTGTATTTTCTAGAACGGTGCTTGGGATGTATTTATAATAAGGTGTAATAGTGTCTTGTATGAGGTTATGTTGAATAGCAAGAGTTTGATGTATGATATTAGCTACTTGGTTATGTCTATGAGTGTAATCGGTTTGGGCGAGATGGGGGCATGCTCCAGTTATATGCTGAATGGTTTCAGAATGTATGTGGCACTTTCGACACTTATCATCTAATACAGTGGGGTCTTTAATTATATATTTCCTGTAATTTCGAGTATTTATAACTTGGTCTTGAATTGCGATAATAAAACCTTCAGTTTCGGGGAATAAAGAACCTATTTTTAACCATTGATTTGACGCAGCTTTATCAATCAAGGGTTGTTCCAGGTCATGATAGTGTCGGCCGTGCAGTACTTTTTGTTTCCATGCTTCTTTTAAAATTTGCTCTGGGTTTGTAACTAAATTATGGGGTCTTTGTAAAGTAGTTTGATGTAAGTTTAGTGGTGTATAATTGAGGTCATTACATTGGATAGCTTTGTGTATGTCACTCGTATGAGATTTTTGATAAAAGAAATTTTGCAATCCGTGTACTTGTTTTTGCCATAGGTTTTGTATATTTATGAGTCCTCTGCCTCCGTTGTATCTCTTTATTGTTAACCTTTCTATAGCCGATTTTGGGTGGTGGTAGTTGTGTTTTGTTGATATTGATCGTGTGGTTCTCTCTATAGAATAAATATTGGTTTTGCTCCATTTTACTATACCAAATGAGTAGGTAAGTACTGGTATGGCGTAAGTATTCACAGCTTTTATTAGGTGTTTTCCAGACAGTTTAGTTTTGCAGATGTTAGTTAATCTTCTTTTATATTCATTAATGAGGTTTTCTTTTATTGTTCTGTGATCTAAGCCTTTGAGCTGGTGAAATCCCAGATACTTATAAACGTCATTCGGTTCCATGGCTGTTATTGTCTGATTTTCATTGTCATCTATTGCGTAATCTCCTGTATGTATCTTACCCTTTATTATATGGAGGGTCCTACATTTGTCTAATCCAAATTTCATATTGATATCTCGGCTAAATTCAGCAGTAACATTTATTAGTTTGTCCATTTCTTTGTAGGTTTTTGTATATAGTTTAATGTCGTCCATGTATATTAAGTGAGTTATTGATGTATCGGTGTTACCATGTTTAAGGTGAAATCCTGTGCCCTGAATGTTTAGGATATGAGACAGAGGGTTAAGAGCAAGACAAAACCATAAAGGGCTCAAAGAGTCACCTTGATAGATGCCTTTTTTTATCGATATTTCTCTGGTAATTATAGTGTTAGGATGACTATTAAGATAAAGGGTAGTTTTCCAACGTGGCATTATGGATTTAAGGAATTCAATTAGACTGTTATTAATTTTATAAATTTTAAGTACTTCAATTAACCAGGAGTGAGGTATGCTATCGAACGCTTTTTGATAATCTATAAAAGTACAATGTAGATTTCGTTTCTTGGTAGCTGCATGTTTGTGAATAACTGTATCAATTATCAGTTGCTCTTTGCACCCCATGTGGCCGCGCCGACATCCTTTCTGTTCTTCAGCAATTATGTTATGTGTCTCTGCGTGTGTTCTGATTTTGTAAGTGATTGCTGATGTAAGTATTTTGTAAATTGTAGGTAAGCATGTAATAGGTCTATATTGAGATGGTTGTAATGAATTTTGGCCTTTAGGAAGCATATGTGTTATTCCTTTAGTTATAAACTGGGGTAAATCTTGTTTTCGATATATAATTTCTGTTAAGTTTTTAGCTATACATTTATGTAAGATTTCTAATTTTTTGTACCAAAAGTTATGAATTTTATCTATACCAGGCGATTTCCAATTATGTAATTTATATGTTATGTTTCTTATATCTTCAGGTGTAATTTCCTCAAATTTCATTTCCTCTATTGCTTCCCATCGAGCTTTTTCTTCTAATATCCATTTCGCTTCTGTATTGTGAGTGACTTGAGTCTCCCAAATATTTGACCAAAAGGATTCTAACTCCTCTTTGTTCGGTGTATCATGGTGTTGTCTATCTATGTTGTCTGCTGTTGTGTTTCTTAAGCCTGCATTTAAATTTCTGTAAAACATTTTTTCGTTATTTATGAATAAATTATTGTCCTGCTTTCTCTGTAGTGATTTTTTATATCTTTTAAGTCTATTACATTTAAGGGCTAATTTTTGCTTTAGGGTATCAAGGAATTCTTCTGGTCTGCTATTGTTGCTTTCATGTCTTGTGTGTAAACTTGTGTTTTTAAATATTGCTGTAACTCTATCCACTATCTTTTTAGATCTTCTGTTCATAAAAATGTATTGTGTTAGTTTACCTATATCTGAGCGCAACTTATTTATATCTCTTTGTAATCGAATCTGCCAGATTGGTGTAGTATCCTGTTTACGTTTTGTGAGCCTATAATTATTATCATTATTAGTAATTTTGTATCCTAATTCTTGAGATATTACAAATGCAGTACAGTAAATAATTGTGTGAATATCAGTAATTTTTGAGGTCTCATGTATGTATTGACTCAAAATGTTGTTATTAAATATGTGTATTAGTTTTAAGAGTTGTCTGCTATATTTAAGCTTTGGGAGTTTAGGTCGCACTGTAGGGTCTATTCCAGCATATTGTAAGATAGCGGTTTGTAGTTTTTCCCTAAGTTGTGATTTCATTAAATCGTTATCTATCTCATCTACGACTGGTATTTCTATTTCATTTTCAATTATCATGGTGTTTGTTACTAGGGTATCTGTTTGAGTGGATATGTCTGACATAAGATTACAATTTCGGTACATTGATGTGCCTCTAATTAATGGATTTTGTGTCTGTAATTGCATGTCTGGTACCTCTATCATTAAGTTTGTCGATTGCGAATGCGTGTTATTTTTATATTGAGTGCTAGGATGGTGAGAGGAATTGTATGATTGTAGTTGTTTACATTTTGCCAACGTTGATATTGCAGTATATGAGTCTTTGTGTGTCTTTTCTTCTTCAATTAATGTATTCCTTACTTCTTCTTGTAATCGACTCAGAATTTCGTTACTTAATAGCTTATTACGTACTATTACTCTTCTTTGATCAGATAATCTTTGTTCTGAGACATTTATTCCTGGGTACTGTTCCGTAAATTTTTGGTGAAGAAGGGTTCTATATGTGGTTAAATCTGTTTCTAACTTCGTGATATAGTAATATGTGCGCATAATAAATGTATTGACTTCAGATGTCCATTTCATGCGCATCCTGGGCTTTCCTGCCTTTGTGGACGCAGGTAGAAAGGCCTGAGCAGCCTCCTGCGCAACATCAGAGGTAGGGATTACGGATTCTCTATTATCTTCAGTTACTGGTGTAAATGAGGGTGTATTTGAATCAGTACTTGGGTTGCACGGTTGTAATGTAGGAGAAGATATGTTTTTGGGTAAGTTTAAGTGTACTTGTTTGGCTGTAGCATTTTCGGGTGACCCGGTGGGAGCCCGCCTACTCAACTCCTCACCGCCGACGGCTCGTCCACTGCAACACCCAGCGTCAGCTCCAGGTGTGCCCCGGCGATAACCCCCGGGTAGCGGCATTAAACGTTTACTTTTTAATCGTGTCTCCATGGTTTGAATGGGTTACCTTTGCCACGTTGGCCACTCCAGTAATAGAAATGTAGTGTTGCCCGCCCCCCACGTGTTCAGATGTTCAGAACAGGACGTGTGGTTGGATTTTAGGGGGCTTATTATTATTATTATTATCTGCCGAATAGTCTTATTTTAATTTTAGGTTATGCCTCGCGCCCAAAATGCTCATGCACAAGTTAATGCAGCGTTTCTTTATGAGTTAAACCTAAATGATCAAGAAACAGTAACATCTGCTAGAATAGTTATAGGAGGGCTATCTTCCAAATTTGTACATGCCGTTAAAACCGAGAAATTCTTGAGAGGAAGGAAGCTATTCACTAATGAAACGTTACAATTGGCCCTGCATGTATTAGAAGATGAGCTTGTAGTTCAGGAGATAAGGGGATTTTTATCATCAGAATATAGAAAAAAGTGTGCCCTAGGTTTATTTTATAAGGTTAGTAATACATCTTTCTTAAAATTCTTCTCATATTATGGTTGTAGCAAGAATGGGTCGACTTGAAAAAAGGATTACCACACTGTAATAGAATACCGGTATAAAATAGCAGCTTAATGCTGTTTTGTTTCGTGTCGTGAGCGCAGAGAACCGGATATCCTTTTTATTAGATACGTACATTCCACCTTAGTCTTCAGGGGTGAAAACGCATCTGCATTTTGATTATTAATCCAGGGCAAATTTAATCGTCTATGGGCCACAGTATTCATTTATCATCAGGTGGAATGTGTGCTCATTCGTTACCCTTATACAAAATGAAAAAAAAAAGTTTTTACTTAGATTTTACGTTGTTGGATTAATTTATTTAAGCTGAACTCAGTGTAATATAGCGACGGTTATTGTACGGTAAATAGTCCTTACAACCGTCGCTGTATTCTTCAGTTCAAACTTCACTCTATGCAGGTTATATATGAATATCATTACGAACTAACCTACCTTATATATATTTATAAATACTACGTAAGTGGTCTTTTTTACGTATTTCTTTATGCACGTGACAGTTCAGAAGCTAATAGCTACATTTCGATCGACTGATAATCCATAATACACGAACAAGTTAACAAACACGTACACCTTTTCATTTATTTATTCCTTAATACAAATGGAGTATTAATTTTAATTTAAGGGCTTACTAAATCTTATTCCTGAAAAGAAGCTAAAGCCGCGATACAGATCTGGTGCTAGAGACTTTAGAAAAAGTAGACCTCTATCAAAAGGATCACAGGAATTTGATACTAATCCAATAATTTGGCCGTTAAATGAGCCCATTCCCAGGCTAGAAGCATTGATACAGTGCTCAGGAGAAGCTACATATGCAAATGATATTCCAACTATACCCAGAGAAGTATTCTGTGCTTTTGTCCCCTCTGAAATCACAGTTGGAGAAATTGAAGACATTGATCCATCGTTAGCAATTGTAAGTATGAGTATTAAAGTATTGAATGAATTTGATTTAATTTTAATTTGACAGTGTACAAAAATTAAATTATATTTTTAAATATAAAGAATATTGTCCGAGTAGTGACGAAGTAAAAAAATCTACTATTTCATATCGTTCCCTGTGGTCGTATGAGGCGACAGAGGGAAACAAGTACGGAGGTGGGCAGTAGCGTCTGTAAATAATAGCTCTATATAGGAAATAAATACAAAATTTCTGTTGCCAACCCACCTGCCAAACGTGGCAACTATGACAAAAATCTCCCTTACGGGGCAATCTATGAAGAGGCTTATGTTCAGTAATAGAATTTTATGTAGGCTGCCATCAATGAATGAATGATGAATAAAGAAACGTTCGATTGAACTTTTTATTTGATTTTGTTTAGAAACTACCGGGTGTATTGGCATTCCTTTCGGCAAAGGATATACCTGGTTCAAATAATTTTATACCTACAAATATTGAAGGTGGTTTAGCTAAAGAAGAAATAATTTGTGAACGCAATGTGAAGTACTATAATCAACCTATAGGTATAATTGTAGCTGAAACTGAGAAGCTTGCTAACCGCGCTGCATTACTCGTAAAGGCTAAGTATAAAAACATCAAAAAACAACCTGTATTAACCATTAGTGACGCAATAACTAGGGAACCTGAACGAGTATCAGTTTTTATTATTATTCCTGCTAGAAATAAGGGTTTAGATGTTAAGAAAGTTATTAAGGGACGGAGTAACATTTTCTGGCAATATCATTATCATATGGAGACCCAAACTTGTGTCACCAAACCGAATGAAGATGGAATAGAAGTATTAGCGGCAACCCAATGGCCAGATCAAGTACACGTTGGAATATCTCAAGCGTTGAAAATTGCACAAAATAGGTACCGAATATATTTCAATTCATCTTGTCGTATATATAAAGCAATATTTGGGTGTAACACATTTTATAAACTTTTTTCAGGATAAACTTATCCATAACACGATTGGGAGGAGCATTCGGTGCCAAGATATTTCGAAATGGCATGATAGCCTGTGCTTGTGCCCTTGTGACACATTTAACGAATCGACCATGTCGCTTTGTTATGAGTATGCAAGCCAATATGAGAATAGTCGGTAAACGAAGCCCTTCTTTGTGGGATTATGAAGTAATTATATACATTGAAAGCATTTTGTAATACAAAGCATTTTTTATTATGATGGCGAGAAATTTTTCTGTCATATCAGGCTCACCTGCAAACGATTTTAATTAAAGATTATCTCAGCTAGTTATGGTGACGTTACAGTACCGTCTAGCTTTTTTGAACTGCTGTTTATCTAACATTATTAGATAGTAATTCATCAGATATAATAATAAACGCGATAAAAGACATCTTAAAGTTGAAATCAAATCGCTATTTAAACGGATAGCTATAAAAGATTTAATAATAAAACTGATTAGAAATTACAGAAAAGGATATTTCTTATAAATTTATTAGGACTTATAGAGAACACTTTTAATAAAATAGTTTTATTTTTCAACCGACTTCAAAAAAGGAGGAGGTTCTCAATTCGACAGCATTTTTTATGTGTGCTACCTCAGAACTTTTTTCTAGATGAACCGATTTTGATGATTCTTTTTTTATTTCAAAGATGGTGCTTCTCATGTGGTCCCATATGATTTGATCAAGACCAGACCAGTTGTATTTGATTTATTTTTAATAATGCGTATTTAATTGACTTCGACTACATTGATGATGTTCTCATTTTATTTATATTGAATCGGTTGTTATTTTTTTTTTAATTTAACCACTTGTTATCTTCTAAAATTCTCACAGCTTAACACTTCACGAGTCACGTCCTTATTTGTAGTACAAGTACTCGCTACCGGGTTCACTGCATCCAGTATAATATCATTAGCTTATTCAAAAACTGCTTTTAAATCATAAATGTTCAATTTCTAGTAAGGATTCGATGCGTATAGAAAAACATTGTTGAATGAAATACTAATATTTATTGTTTTACTTATACAAAAAATATTACAAAATTATACCCAATTTGTACATAGTTTTGTGACAAGATTTAAGCTAATTGTTACAAATTTTTATTACTTATTTTAAACAAAAACTTCTGTGTTTTATCAGATATTAATGAACTTACTTATACGAAATAAAGAGGTATAAATCATCACAAAAAAAAAAAAACCATAATAATGCAATATCTCCTTTGAATTAAAATCACATTTTCCAACATTCTACTGATACTTTTTAAACTAACTGACTACCAATATAGTCATTTGCTGGGCTACAGTAGTCGTCGTTGAATTTCAATATTACTAAGCAATATATTAAGGGCTGGGTCTATTGGACCCAATAGCGACTCCTAAAGTGTTAATTGCTTTTCGCTTGACAATTACGGAGAGTGAGGTAACGAGGTATAGTTATGAAAACGTTACCGTTGGACAACTTCATTGCAGAAAAGCCTTCCATAAATGATGAACCCAAGTCCCACAGAATTAGCGGTGCAAGATATATTGCAAGGCATATTTGCAATATTTTCCCAGCAGGAAAACGCCTGGTCGAAAGTCGAAAGCACCGATAACGGAGATCAAAACGATCTCCGTTATCGGTGCCACTATTATTTTAATCATCAGTAATAATTTAATAATTTAATTTAAATTAAACTAATTTTAAATCATATATCACACTAAGCATAAATAAATATATTTTTATAAATTTTGAAAAGCAATAGATTTCACTAGCATTTCTTAAGGACGGTTATTAAACGGTTATATTAATTAATGTATGATTAGAAGACATCTTCAATTTTCATATGCCTATGACAATCCATAAATATTGAACATAACTGGTACCTATAGCCTAATTTAAATTATACAGGTTGGAGTAAATAATGTTGGCGAAGTTCAATACTTGGAATATCATCTATACGAAGATAATGGGTATATTGTCAGTGACCCACTATTAGTATTTGCAATATCTGCTGTGAAGAATTGCTATGATAACAAAAGGTGGCAGTATAAATTATTTAATGTAACTACGGATACAGCTTCCAATACATATGCTAGATCACCTGGTAATTATAGCTTCAGATTTATTTTTATATAAAATTATTGTTCTTACTGACACGTTATATTTTATACATTACTAAATATTTTCAATTTTTAAAATACTAGGGGCACTTGAAGCAATAGCCATGACTGAACATATTATGGAACGCATATCATATGTGCTTGACAGAGATCCGTTGCAAGTTCGTCTAAGTAACTTAAATCCGTTATATACAGATATAGCAGAAATAGTTTCGACTTTGATTGAAGATAGTGAATATAAAAAACGGAGGGAGGAAGTACAAACATTTAACAAATTAAACCGTTGGAAGAAACGAGGGCTTAGATTAGCACTCATGAGCTGGCCTGCTTCAACTGTAATGGATTTTCATATCTTAATGACTGTTTATCACGGTGATGGTTCTGTGGAAGTAAGGCACGGAGGAATAGAAATTGGCCAGGGAATTAACACAAAAGTTGCTCAAACTGTAGCATACGTGCTACAAATTCCCTTAAACAAAGTGAAGATCAAACCTACTACTGTTTCAACAAACCCAAACACCATTATCACCGGAGGTAGTCGTACAACACATGCTGTTTGTTTTGGTGCTATCAAATGTTGCCAAATTATTTTAGATCGTTTGTCTATAGTTAGAGAAATATTAAATGAGCCTACTTGGGAGTTATTAATAGAAACCGCATATATGCGAGGTATAAATCTTCAAGCCAGTTACAGAGTAACACCTAATGACGAAGAACCTTATAGATCGGCAGGAGCGGTAGTCACGGAAGTTGAACTTGACATTTTGACAGGAGAACATGAAATTTTAAGAGTTGATATTATGCAAGATGTTGGTTTGAGTATAAATCCAAAATTGGATATCGGGCAGGTAAAAAATAGAATATAGGTTGTAATGAAAATATGCTTCTCTCAACTATGGAAAAAACACGCTCTCTTAGTATACCAGCGTGAAATAACATAATACTGTTGTGTTTTGTATGTCAAGTGTTGATAACCGAAGACCTCTCGCACAGATCTCGTACAAGGCATTCCATAGTATTCATAAAGGGTGATAAGATATCCGCATTTTGATGCATAACTCATTTAGACGTAGGAGTCAATGGGTCACTGCATCTACTTTTTCTTTATAGAAGACGGAGCAAACGGGCATTTGGCTCACCTGATGGTGAGTGTGGATCGTCGCTCATGAACACCAATTTAGTAATTATCCAGTAATTTCATATGAGATTGTATTCTCGATCGCTGTTTGTACTTTTGTAAGGCAGCGTATTATATTTAGCATCCCATTTAGTCTAAGAAAGATCGTGTGAGAAAGGTAAAATTTCCAATCTTAAAATACCATTAGCGTATCCACATTATTACTTATCATGAGCAGTGAAAGTAGAATCTGATACTATGGTCGCACCCTGCTTACCACTCAACTTTAATACATTCTGGGGTAGAAGCACGTTGCAGCTATATAATGGTTGTTGCACGAATGGATTGACTCGATTGGAGAAGGACTAAGCTCTTACAGAATATCAGCGTAAAAGATGAGCTAAATATTAATGTGTTTTATATTATAAGTGAAGAGAACCGGAGATCCATTTTAATGGAAACAAGGCATTCCACCTTAGTCCTCTGGGATGACAACGCATCTACATTTTGATTTTTAACTAAGGATAGATGTAGATTTCTATGGGCTACAAAACCCACAAACCATCGTGTGGACTGTGTGCTTGTTTGTTACCCTTATTCTATGACAATATATATCAATTAATTTGCTGATAAATTTACTTATTAAATTGAAATACATTTATGCTCATATTGTTTTATTATATTTTAGTTATTTAAAATAACTAAAATAAACTCTATTTTATTATCAGATAGAGGGGGCTTTTATTATGGGAACTGGTTATTGGACATGTGAACACTTGATCTACGACAATAATACTGGGGAATTGCTCACCGATCGGGCTTGGAACTATCATGTGCCTCTAGCTAAGGATATACCTATTGACTTTAGAATTAAGCTGCGAAAAAATTCATTCAGTCCAATTGGTACTTTGGGAGCTAAGTGTAAGTTATGTATATATATTTCCTTTATAAATAAATATACGCATTGTCGGTGCACATGTACTGGAAAAATATCCACATCTATTTTTTTCTCTGTCCTGCAATATTTAATACTAATTAAATAAATGCACCTTGCTTAAGGGACTTATTATCAAGTTGTCTGGACCAATTTTTTATTCATATACAGAAGAAATAATTTTTATATGTCTAAATTCAAAAATTCAATATTAAATATATCAATTTTTTAATATTCATAAGAATTACAAGAATTTGAATACTCTTCGAAGCTATAATATGAATAATTCGATAACAATTCTTTTTTAGATCTTTCTTACCAAATTTTTTTACTAGATGGGAGAATCTATTTCAGGTAGGAGTCCGTCTATAGAGAGTGTGATGAAGATAAGTTGGCTTTGACCTATTTCTGCCACCAAATAGCTATACTTGCACTGCTGTGTTCCAGTATTAAGTGTATAGTTAGGAACAGTATAGTAAAAGGCTATGAGATATTTCATTTAAATTCTCAGAGGTGACAACGTATCTGCAGCCTTCTTTGTTTGAAATTGGCAGCATGTGTTCATGGACTGCAACAGCCATTAAAAATCAGGTTGAATGTAAGTTCGTTGTTACATCAATTTTATTAAGAAAATTCTTAAACGAGAAGAAAGAAATTGGTGAATATCTTTTCAACCGACTCCAAAAAAAGGAGGGGGTTCTTAATTCGACCGTATTTTTTTAATATGTGTTACCTCAGAATATTTTTCTAGGTGAACCGATTTTGATGATTCTTTTGTTGGTGCTTCTCATGTTGTCCCATATAAATTTGATCAAGATCTGAGTAGTAATTTTTGAGTTATCCTTAATAATGCGTATTTAATTGATATCAACTACATTGATGATGTTCTCATTTTGTTTATATCGAAGTAAGTCGTAGAAAAATTTTAATTTTACCTACTTCACTTATCAGGTGGACTGTTTGCTCGTTTGTCACCCTCATTCTATAAAAAAGTAATAATAATGCAATAAATAAACAGTATATATAAATAATTATATTAATTTACTTATATTTTTAGCGGTGACGGAACCACCTACGTGCTTAGCAGTCAGCGTAGCTTTTGCCTTAAGGGAAGCTATAGTCGCATCGCGTGAAGATTCTGGATATTCGAGGACGGAGTGGTTTGAAGTCGGTAAGGTCAATTAACAATGTTGATTGGATTTTTAAAATATTATGTTAGTAAGAAAGATGTAAAAGTTACAGCCTATATACGTATCACTGTTGGGCACAGGCCTCCTTTCATTTCTGAGAGGGTTTTAGGACAAGGAAATGTCCGCCGCGCTGCCCTAATGCGTGTTGGTGAACTTGACATGTCTTCGAAATATTTTTTTTCTTATTTATTAGACATGCAGTTTTCCTCACGATGTTTTCTTTCTTGATTTGACTATAATCCCTGCATCTGAAATATTATATAAAATTATTTCTAATCTTATTATTAAAGTGACAAAATAGCTAACAATTAATGGAGAGTTGCTACTGCTGTGTGTTTCAAAATCTAACTTCTTTCTCTTCTTTTTTACTTTATTAATTCTCTGATCATAGAATCCTATTATCATAGAATTAAGGAAACCTTATCAATTTTTTCAAATATTTTTTGTGAGTAGCTTTCATATCTACAACAAAAGACACAAAACATTACTAACCACCAAAAATGTTTAGTATTATGTTGAAACTAAGGTAACAACTTAATATTATTAGTATTTCTTACTTCAATTCAAATTAGGTTATAGTCCTTACACGGTTTTTAAATGAGATAACCGAGCTATTAGAAACTTCAACTTAGTCATGTAAATAGTAAGTTGTCATGACATGATAATGACAGAGTAGCATGTATCGTATCCCTCCCCTCAACTTTGCAAGTATCGTTAATATTATTAAATATGATAAGTTAAATTCTGTTATACTTTTGAAATTGTTCATAGAATGATTTTCCTAAAAGAAACATTTTCATTTTGTAAATGAAACGATATTGTATCTAAAGCGAGCGATTAAACCTTTCGACCAAAGTAATTTTTTATTAAGAGTAAAACAAAAAATATACTTGCAAAATCCTCTGCTCATTTAACCATGAAATCTAAAGGCAAAGATGAATATGCATTTTGAGGCTTTAGTTTTTACCACCTATTACCTCTTTTACATTCACATTCTTTGTTTTACAGATGGACCGTTTACATTGGAGACGAACGTTATTAAAGCTGAAACAAATCTGAAGGAGTTTTTATTTGAGTGAACTTGACGTATCGTATTTGTTGTAATTTACTGTGTATGTCAATATATTTTTTATATTTACGTTATAAACTTATATGAAATTTATTTAGTTTTAAGTAATTTCATCCTACGAATTTTATCTTTTAAAACAGTTTTTCTTGTAACATATTTTCTAAAATGTTTTGTACACCTGTCCTATGAATCTGTGTCAAATTTTTTTTCTTCTTTATTAGACCCTATTAGTCTACATGGACCCTTTACAGAAATTATTTGCCGGTATCGTATCGTAACCATAATGTAGCTACAACATGATTACCAATTTCACGTGCTCGAAAAAGCATCATGACAGATTTGAGTACTTCCTCCTTTTTGAAGTCGGCAGAAAATGAAACATTATCTCCCCTCTGCTTTGTAGCTGCAGTAAGAATAAATAACCTCTATTAATGATGTCATATGAGCTACATATCACTAACAATTACTACACCTAATCCCGTTTTACGCATGTAGTTAACTTTTCGTGTAAACATAATGAGAATTACTGAGCGTACACAAAAGGTATTCTGCTGTAGGTAGTTGTCCCATCAAACTAACGAAAGTGACGAGTGTTTGTCATAACTATTTGTTAAAGAATTTTGTTGCTGTGCCTAGTAGAATCTATTTATTTTGTATTCAAAATAAATTTTAATATAATGTTATTAATGGATGAATTAAACTTTTAAGTACATATATGACTGGTTTTATATAAATAAATGACAAACAAGCAGACAGTCGACATCACAACTGCTATATTATATCTGCAACATGAACGGGTTGACTAGATCTTGAAAGGACCAGGCTCTTTGAACACCAGCGTGAAATAGTAGCATAAAGTTGCTACGGCCTAACGTCGTAATTTAACAATTTTATTCTACAAATAGTAAATAACATTAAAAAAGCGACATAAAATTAATTTGTTCCAAAATATTCACAATTATGTTTTCCAATACTATGTAAATCATGCTCGGGCGATAAAAAGTTACTAAAAAACAAACTACACCGAAAATAAAATTTTTAATTTGGCTCAAAAAATCATTTGTTTCATTCAACCTACGAATTATTATTTTATACAGTATTCGGACCAACTCTGCATAAATTTCTGGTTTTTATGAGTACCTACTACTTAAAATGTATTGTGAAAAAAAATTGTACGTTGTTGCCAGGAGTTATTAAAACATAAAAAAAGAAAATGATTTATGGTCATAAAAATAATGACTGCAGTGTTTTTATGTTAATGAATAAAATTCTCAGAATTTTAATCTTAAATTTTAAATTTAATAACATCTTGGTATTGTATATCACATTTAATATAAAAAAAAATATATTTTATTTTATTAGGCAAACGCTCGAAAACATTGCGAGAACATAAATGTATTAGAAACAAAATACTTAGAGATACCTGTGGGGTCCATCAACATGCACGTAACAAGTCGGAGTACACCAAAGTAGTTTTGAGATAGGGCTCTACATTCTGTAAACACAAAAACGAACAAGCTAGTAATTCCAGTTACTCGACTGCATAAAATCTTTTTTATTTTGAAACAGACCATTGACGCATATAGCATTATAAAAATTATAACTTAAAAATACGTAAATGTAATAATTTTTACTACGTCAAAGGCATGTGCCATCGGATCAAATTGTTATTTAAATCTTTTTTACATGGCCAGTACCTTTAAAGCTATGTATCTAAATAAAGGTGAAATGTACCAAGACAGAGTTGATGTGTGTATATTATGTATTTTATCTATAAACTTTTGCGGTATTCAGCTGTAACAAATGGCAGTGCACTTACCTCAAATCAGATAAGACGAGAAGGCGTACTCGTAACTATAAACGACTGGTGTTTGTCAACTGCGAAACACCATACGCTTCTGTAATTAGGTCCTGGGTTGTGAAAAATGTAACTACCCGCCCATTGGCACAAACAATAATAAAGACATAATACTATACATACACAAGGTATTATTGAAAGAATAATTAAAAATTAAAAATTTTGTACAGCCGACTTCAATATAAGTTATTAAGAATAACTCAAAAAATATTGGTCTGACCTTGATCAAATTCATATGGAACTACGATACGAGAAGTATCAAGCTTTCATATAAAAAAGAATCATCAAAATCGGTTCACCCAGTAAAAAGTTATGAAGTTATTTAATTTAAATCAAGGAAATCGGGGTGGTATCAGTGGCAGCTGAACTAAGTAAGTGGCGCAAGTATAAGTCTGTGAGAGATGACTACATATTTATGCCAATTGTCGTAGAGACTATCGGTCCATTGGGTCCACGTGTGATGAAGTTCCTTAAAACACTGTATTAACGACTCGTCACTACTTGTGATTTGACAGCCTTTTTGCTGTTCCAATATGCAAAAGAATTTTTTAAATGCGTAGACTAGTGATCACAATATGTCGAATATTACACTATTATGTCACGTCGCAACGGGTTGAAACTATTGGTTCAGATGGAGGCTTGAAATGACAATACCTAATAAGTCAGAGCACATTGGCAGAATTGCCGAGAAACTAGTTCGCCTTCCTTTGGGAACCCGTGCATTCTGGTCTCTCGCCAAGGCTGTCCAAGGGAGTTTCTATAAGCCATCACTACCATCTCTGCAGAGGGAGGACGACTCACTGGCCCACACTGCAAAAGAGAAAGCCGACCTTTTAGGCTTCCTTTTTGCGTCCAACTGGACTCTTGATGACGGGGGAACACATCGCCGAATATCCCGCGGTGTGAGTGCTCCATGCCGGATGTGCGGTTCTCACAGCGCTCGGTTCGCAAAGCACTCCTCTTCATGGACATCCACAAGTCGAGTGGGCCTGACAGAATCCCCCCAGTTATGCTGAGGACGTGTGCTTCAGAGTTGGCACCGGTTGTAACGCGTCTTTTCCGGTACTCCTACTCCCTAGGCGTAGTCCCGAAATCATGATAGACAGCTTTTGTACACCCGATCCCTAAAAAAGGCGACCGCTCAGACCCGTCCAACTACAGGCCTATCACCATCACCTCCTTGTTCTCCAAAATAATGGAATCCATTATAGACTGCCAGCTCATGCGGTACCTTGAGGATCGCCAGCTGATTAGTGAACGCCAGTACGGTTTTCGTCGGGGTCGATCAGCTGGTGATCTTCTGGTCTACCTGACTCATAGATAGGCGGAAGCAGTAGAGACCAAGGGGGAGACATTGGACGATAGTTTGAACATTGCGAAGGCCTTCGATCGGGTTTGGCACGAAGTGCTTTTTTCGAAGCTCCCTTCCTATGGGCTTCCCGAGAAATTGTGCAATTGGATCACCAGCTTTTTAACAGATCGGAGCATCAAGGTCTTTGTAGACGGCGCATGCTCCGACTAAAGACTATTAACGCTGGTGTTCCACAAGGCTGCTTGCTATCACCAACGCTGTTTCTTCTGCATATCAATGATAAGTTGCGAAGCGGTAACATTAATTACTATGCGGATAACAGCTCTGGTGATGTTCTGTACACCGGCTGTGCCAATATTTCTCGAAAAAACGTCGCCGAGTACCGGAACAAACTTGTGTCTGAAGTCGAGTCTTTGCTTAACAAAGTCTTGGATTGGGGGCGTTTAAATCTAGTCCAATTTAATCCTCAGACGACACAAGTTTCCGCGTTTACCGCTAAAAAGAACCCCTTTGTCGTATCTCCTCAGTTTCAAGGCACTCCCCTTCTTGCCTCAGCCAGTATCGGTATCCTCGGAGTCGACATATCGAGTGACGTGCAGTTTCGTGGTCACTTGGAAGGGAAGGCCAAATTGGCCTCTAAAAAGCTTGGCGTGCTCAGCAGCGCGGGACAGTATTTCATGCCGGCACACCGCCTGCCACTGCGCAAGTTCGGCCTCACATGGAATACTGTTCCCATCTCTGGGCAGGGGCTCCCCAGTGCCAGCTCCTTCCACTTGACCGCATCCAACGCAGAGCGGCTCGAATTGTCGACGACCGAGCCCTTTCCGATCGGCTCGATTCATTGGCACTGCGAAGAGATGTTGCATCCCTTTGCATTTTCTTTCGCATCTACCATGGGGAGTGCTCTGAGGAATTTATTAATCCCAGCCGCCAAATTTCACGAACGCACATCGCGGCAGAACTCCCGATACCATCCACACCATCTGGATGATTGGCGGTCCACCACTGTGCGATTTAGAAGATGTTTTCTTCCTCGCACGACCTCCTTGTGGAATCGATTACCATCAGCGATTTTTCCGGACCGATACGACTTAGGGACCTTCAAGAAAAGAGCGTACTCCTTTTTAAAAGGCCGGCAACGCATCTGCGATTCCCCTGGTGTTGCTGTTGTTCATGGGCGGCGGTAGTCACTTACCATCAGGTGAGCCGCATGCTCGTTTGCCCCCTCTCCTATAAAAAAAATAAATAAAAATAAAAAGAACCCCTTTGTCGTATCTCCTCAGTTTGAAGGCACTTCCCTTGTTGCCTCAGCCAGTATCGGAATCCTCGGCGTCGACATATCGAGTGACGTGCAGTTTCATGGTCACTTGGAAGAGAAGGCTAGATTGGCGTTTAAAAAGCTTGGCGTACTCAGCAGAGCGGGACAGTTTTTCATGCCGGCACAACGCCTGCAGCTTTATAAGGCGCAGGTTCGGACTCACATGGAATATTGTTCCCATCTCTGGGCTGGGGCTCCCCAGCGCCAGCTCCTTCTAAATCCAGCGCAGAGCGGCTCGTATCGTTGACAACCGAGTCCTTTCCGATCGGCTCGATTCATTAGCGCTGCGAAGAGATGTTGCACCCCTTTGAATTTTCTTTCGCATTTACCTCGGGGAGTGCTCTGAGGAATTGTTTTGATAAATCCAGCCGCCAAAATTCACGAACGCACATCGCGCCACCATCCACTCCCGATACCATCCATACCATCTGGATGTTTGGTGGTCCACCACTGTGCGATTTAATAGATGTTTTCATCCTCGCACAACTTCCTTGTGGAATCGATTACCATCAGCGTTTTTCC